GTTTAATCTCTTATTCTCTTTTTTTTAAAAAAGCACAACAATGTAATGGTTTGGGTAGAAGGGAGGTATCAGATTCATAGCAATCGTTATTACAAGTATAAAATCCTAGTGGAAGCTGTTGCCATCCTGGTGTCCAGCATTAATGTGTGCGCTGTTCGGGCTCATCATGAGGATCAGGTCGAAGGTCTGCCTGATCCGTAGGGGTGTGATGTGCTCTGCTCGGGAAGCTAGTTAAGCCTTCGACCTTCACTTCTGCCCCTGTTGGTTTTAGTTGTCCCAGGCATTTTGTTATTGCTGCTCTAAGGGGGGGGGGCTAATGGTTTCCTCCACAGCAGCAAATAGGCCTGTCCAGAGTGGGCCATCACCTCCCCAGGAACTTCCTCCTGATGTTTGGGCTGCATGTCTCCACGCACCCCTTTTTTTATTTTTTTACATGCTCCCCATCAGTAGCTCCCCCAAGTTTCCCAGAGAGGTAAAGCTGGAAGGGACCGTGAGAGCTCATCTAGTCCAGCCAGGGCTTGAACCTGGGACCTCACTGCTATTAACACCCCGCTCTCACCAAGTTTGTGGACCTCCCGTTCAACCTCCTCTTGGCTCTGGGCAAACTTGCTGTGTGCTGGACCAGGAAGGAGGCTCTGGCTTTAGGGAACGCCGGTGCCCATGGAACCATTTTGTAGAGGCGCACAAATATATTGGATCGGCATCGATAAAAGGGAAACTTTCGTTATTGGTTATTGGGTTTTTTTGGCCGGGGTAGCTGATTTAATGTTTACCAATACATATAATTAATTATGCCTTCTGGCTGGGGCTCCCTCTGGAAACAGTAGGTTTCCCCTTGCAGGCAGGCAGCATGCAGGTGGGGCTGCCAGGAGTGGGGTGCAGGAGGTGCCACGTGGCCAGGAGCTCAGCTAGGCCATAGAGCAACTCCCTGCAGGTAAGTCTGTGAAGGGGAGTGTGGGGACAGTGATAAGTTCTGCTGGGCTGTACCCCTGCTTCTAGTTCTCCTCTCCCCACAGGAGCAGCAAAAAGCAGACTTGAAGTCCCTCAATCAGATAACAATCTTTCCTCCTCCTCTTCCCCCCTGTTTAGCAGCGTGTCCCTTCTCATTCACCCCTTTCCTGCCCACAGCTGCCTCTGTCCCCAGCCCATCCTGGCACCCTGCAGAGCCCTGCTGGAGTGGGCAGAA